CTAAGGAAGCTAGTACAATTGGCCATGATCCTGATTTGGGGCTGCTATCATAAATTAGACATATATACTTCACATTGTAAGTCTGGTCAAACCAGACCAAGAAATATGTTTCATCAGTTTCATTTTGCAAAACTCTGTTGCTTTTTTGAACAGTCACTGGTGCTTTGTAAACATCATATGAAATGAGAAACTTTCATTACCACAATTGAAGACTTGGTGACAGAAGAAAGCACTTTCAAAAAATTGTAAAAGAGTGGTTTCACAAGGAAGTTGGTTTTTTTCCTTAGATAAAAATACTGTGTATGTACTGTTCTGAGCCTCACTTCACTGCAAAGGAGTGAATGCCAGGAGTTCTCACCAATAGCTGTCAGTATAGTGAAGTGAGTTAATTTGTAAAATATGTAATAAAAAGGTTCCATAATCAGCCTAACTGTTCAAGAAGTTCTTATTCTCTTATTTTCAGTCAGGAAATAATTATTTTTATCATAATTTATAAAGTTACAGTCAAAAAAGTAAGAGAAACCAACTTGGACAGTCAGGAAAACCACTGAATTTAAATTTTATCTGTGGTATAGCTTTCTGGTCTCAAGCAGGCTGAGACTCATTAGACACTGCCTGAACACAGGACAAAAATTACCAAGAATTTTAAAAGTTACTTTAAATCGTATTCTGCGACTTTTGAATTGCTAGGAATAACATTTTATTTCACGAGTGAGACTTAATGAGGAGCTTTTGCAAAGTATCATCATAGAATCAGTGTGTCACTCAGGTGGAAATTGACCTTGGGGGATCTTGGGCCCACCTCCTGCTCAAACAGGGTCATCTATGGGATCAGAGTTGGTAGCTCAGAGCTTTATGCAATTGGATATTGAAAACCTCCAATGATGGTGACAGGACAATCTCCTTAGGTAACTTGTTCCACTGCTCAGCTGTCCTCAGAGGGAAAAGTGTTTTTTTTTCCCCTCTTACATCCAGTCTGAATGTCTCTTGTTTCCATTTATGTCTGCTGTCTCTAGTCCTCACACTATGCACTGCTCTGAAGAGCACGGCTTTATCTTCGCAATGAACTCCTCATACATAGGGGCAGCTTGCTATTTCTTTATGTTCCCCAAAGCCATTGCATGTCTGGGCTGAAACAGCCCCATCTCCTATGGCAGGACTAACAAGTGCTGAGCTGATCTGCTTCATCTGCTGCCTGTGACTCTGCTGGTGCTAGTCAGGCCTTGACTGGTGCCCAGGTTGCTGCTCACCTGAGCATCTTCTCAGCAGTGCTGCTCCCTGGCTGGGCAGCCATTGGTTGGCACTGAAGCCAGGGGTTATTTAATTCCAGGTGCAACATGTTGTATTTGACCTTTCTGAATCTCACAGGGTTTCTGTCACCACATTCCTCCAGCCTTTTCCTTGTGACTGTATTGGTTTGTCCTTCTAGTTTGGTGTCACCTCCACACCTTATGTGTGGCTCCATTGCTTTCTATCACCTCACCGATAAAAAGAGTACACCAGGGAAGGTCCCAGACCCCTGCACTACTGCACCTGCTACTGGCCTGCAGGTGAAGTAGGACCAGTTAACTGCTGTCCTCTGAGACTTGCCATCCAACCTGTTTTCATTTCCTCATCCAGACAGTAACATCTGAACTCAGAGTATTTTGGCTGAGAGTGTTGACCTTCCAAAAGTTGAGATAAATGACGTGCACTGCTCTTCCCTCATTTACAAATCATTTTATCACAGAAGGAAACCAGGTCAGTCAAGCATGATCAGTCTCCAAGTGGCAGAATCTGGCCATAATTGGGGTTGGGAAGAGGGGATGTGGGGAACTGACACCACAAAATGCTTAGAAAGTTACTCACTTTTAAATTCTTCAGATCTTCTTCGATATTTTTTCCTAGATTTTGGTAGTAAAATGGCTTGTATCTTTCACTAATTTCTGCAAAAAGAAAATAACTAAGTGAAAGTGGTTTTCAATGGAAAATAAAAGTGACATAATCTTAACAATCTTGATGGATAAGGATTGAATAAAAACTTCTATCAGGTCAGAAACAGCAAAGTTATACGTATATTTGGAATTTGTTCACATGGTACATATAACCTTAAAACAGTAACAAGAACAGGATGACTTCCACAGATTTTTTTTTTGGTTGTTGTATTTCTTTTTAGGGTGAAACCTCTCTGTATGTGACCTGTAGCTGAGAGCACCTTTCCTTGACTTGCATATGGGAAAATTAGAAGCTAAGACCCAGTACTAGCATAAGCTTAATCTATTAGCAGTAGATTATGTATGTTAAATATGGAGATAGTAGATGGGTTCCTCCTGGTACACAAATTTCCTCTGAGTATTTAAGTACATGCCTGCCGTATATGAAGCTGTTGGTGCCCCTCTCTAAATACAAACCTCAATTTCCTGTTATATGTTGGGGTTTTCTTTGGGGTTGTGTTTTTTTTTGTTGTTGTTTTGGAGTTTTTTTGTGTCAGCTTTTTTTTTTTTGGCACTATATATTGAGATAGAAAGAAGAGATGAGGAGACATAGGATTTTGACTTATTTCCTGAATGCTCTTGTAATTTCTCCTTCCCAGACCATTCAGCTAAGACTTCTACTGACTGCAAGTGTTTTGGGATCTGACCATATGAAAGGATGATGAGCTAGTCAAAGTCAGTTGGATTGCTTATGGAACAATTACTAGGACAGCTTTTGAATCTAGAATATTTTGAATAGGATATTTTCTCAGTCATAGTCAAGATATACTACATCCCTTAATGTTAGCTTTTCTAAAAATTTCAGCAGGAAGATTATACTACACTGAAGAGAAATTATCATCAGGTATAAAGTGTCGTAGCTTCATCCACTTACTAGTATTTCTCAAATCTGTAAATGCTTGTCCCTGACCAAAAATGGTCAGGGTACAGGAAGCATGCTTTACAGGGCATGTGAATTGATATTTTGGTTTTCAAAGAAAAAAATTATATTTCAAGAGGAAAACACTCAACTTTGTTTTGCTCCATTGCAAACTATTGATGGACACGAAACAAAAATAATGCTAAAGCAATGCCTTACCTGCAAAGGTTGGCCGTTTCTCTGACTCTTGCTCCCAGCATTGTTTCATTATGTCAATAATTTCCACTGGACATTTATCAGTGATCTCCTTTAAGTCTGGTCTGTTTCCATTTATGACGCCAAAGCAAATCTGGGCTTCATTTATACCATCTGAAAAATAAAATTTCCTATCACATCCTGATCACAGGTTTTGCTACCTTTCCATAGGTAAAAGAAACAATGAAGCAGCTCCCTGTGTGTTTGTGGATATGTAAACTATGGTTTAAAAGATGTCCAAGTTACATCTACAGATATTTCATATTAGTGAATTTGAATCCACTGCCCTAACTTCCATGGATTAGAGATTTATTTTAAGATTAATGGATTTACTTTTATATGTAAGACATACCCAGTGTGAGTAAGGGTGACAGAACTAGCTCCCTAGAACCTGCATCTAGCTCATGCTCTGCACTGGGTATGAACACAGAGATGGCCACATAGGTAACATTTAGCCATTTAGTTAGCAAAAAATCCATTCAAAATTATAAACGTGTTCCTCTGGAATTCCACAGTTGGCTCCTATGTATGGCTAACATTAGTGCATGTCGAGAAGTTAGCACCACGCAGCTGAGAAGCGGTAACTGTGTGTGATCATTCCTGCTGAAAGAAAAACCACATGTGACTAGTCCACCTTAGGAAACAGTGGACATCAAAGTTTCCATTCTGACCCACATGAGGTTTGTCTAACTTCTGCCACTGAGTCCAGTTTGTGCCCACACCATACAGATGTGAATAGATTCAGCTCACACCTGCATTTCATTCAGATGTTCTTGTCCATGCTTAGGAGTCAGGAATGATGCAACTAATGCCTCTTGCTGGCCATGAGGTGCCAAACAGGCCCTATTTTAGGCCATGGGTGATTTAATCTACTAATCTTAATTTTATAACTTTAAATGCTTAACATTTGTAACTTCATTTTGTGATAGCATTCTTTCAGAAGTAACTTACTTTCATATGGTTCTTTGTTAGCAAAAATTGCCCAGATCACTATGCCAAAGCTGTAAACATCTGATTTTTCCACTGGTTTTGCATTAACACTGAGTAAATGCTCTGGGGCCATATAGAAAAGAGTCCCAGCATTGTTCTGGCAAGTGCTCTTTATTTGCTTCTGTCGGACAGTTTCTTCATGGGTTAGCTTACTCCAGTTCTTAAAGGAGGCAACACCGAGATCTGCAATCTGAAAAATTAGACATGTCAGAGCTAGTGCTGTAATGAAGAGGAGATAAACAAGTATTTCATGCAGTGCTTAATTTTATAATTATTAATAATAATATAATAACTTACCTAAAAATGAAACACTAGAAAAAATGCAACTAAAAAAAGGAAAACAAACTATTTGCTTTTTTTGTTTTGTTTTTCTTTGATTTGGGTTTTTTTCCTAAATAAAGTATCACTGCCAACTGGGAACCATTAAGCTGAACTTTTATTATTAACTTAACCCCACTTGGAACAATTGCATAATGTAAGGATAGAAGAAGTTTGGTTTTGCCTGTATTGACAATCATGTTCGAGGTCTGTCTGCAGTGCTTGTGGGAGAACAGAAATTCATACAAAAAGAAGTTAAGATTCAAATCTAGAAGCAATCTATGAGATTGCCAGATATCCCTCCTCCCTCACTGCCCTTTCCATTTAGATTCCATTTAACTCAACTTCCTTAGATCTTCCTACAGAAAAGGGGTAAAAGGGGATCTAAACCAATGTGATGTGTATGACAAAGAGAGATGGAAAAGGATAGCATGGAATAAGTTAAAGCAGGGATACCTGGGTACTGTTATGTTTGACAAGGTGACATTACCAAAACTTTAGGGTGCAGTTTTGCAACTAGACTAACGGCTGTTGATGAAGAAAGAAATCTCTCCCTCCTTTTCCCAGTCTCCTATTATATGCTCCCTCTGCTCCTCTTGTTCCAGCACGGACACTTATCCGGGAAGAACTAGTGCAAGGCATGCAACCAGCTTGCTGAACCAAGTGTGCCCCAATGGAAAGGTAGCACTGCCAACAAGGTAAATAGTAATCTGCTGGTTTGGCTTCCTAAATCAGGACAGGGTGACCAGATTAGCACCAGTGCTAACACAAGGGAACAGAAGGTCAACAGGAGAGGAAAAATGAAAGAAAATGAGACTGTCTCCCTTGGCCACAGGCAGCTGTCAAACAGAGCTGTGTAACCCAATTACTTCAAGTGAAAACTGAGGTGATATCCTGGCTCACTTCTAACACACTTTTCCTTTCTATCTTGTTGCCTCTAACTAGCTTATTGTTCTTCTTGTGTTTCTGAAGCTTTGGGCTGCATTTAGAGGTCATGTATTCAGAGGAAAACGTATGACATGCTGCTGAGGAAGTAGCATGTCCAAAGAGTCTAAATTCATGTCTACAAGTGAGAGGAGGTTTAATGTGATAGAGGAAGATATGATATAAATCTTTCTACATTTGCAGTTTCCTACAACAACTACTTCCTTTTCTAAATATTGAAAGTGTTAGACATATTTAAGCAGATGGCTTAACAACAGCTGCCTTAAATGATACTTTTGATCAACCTGCTTAAGGAAATCTGATCTGATTCTGAATTTAATCTTAGGTTCCACCTCAGTTCGTCATGAAGTGTGATGATAGTCTAGTTTGGTCTGGTCCATATAAGCAAGCTGAAACCCCAAACCCCATCCAATTTATATTTAAAGCAGATCGTGATGGGGTTTTTATTTTTGGAAAAATAAAAAAAAATTAAAAAATTCTTATCTGCAAACTGCTCATACCGCACTTGTTACTATATTAACCTCCTATATTAACAATTCACTAATTTATGTGTGAGAAATAGAAAATGACAGAGCTCTCTTCACAGAAATTTATTCTGTAATTTCAAACTGTAATGGGGTGGTTATTTCAACAACTCACCTTGACCAGAAACAGGATATTTGATGAGGACTGCTGCACATTCCACTCAGGTTTATTCCGCAGTAGCCTCTATATCTATGTGTCTTGATCCAAACCCCCTCTAAAATTAATAGAAAGGACTTTGGAACAGGCTTATAAGCCATTCTTTGAAGTAGTGTCCTGATGTTTTTTTTCTTTTTGTAGCTGCTGGATGTCATTTTAAAAGGATGACTAAGGGAAAAAAGAGGGATACGAAAGAGGAAAAGATAATAGGCAAAAGAAGGAAAGAAATAAAAAGAAGGAGGTAAAGGCAGGAGGAGAGATTACAGCAATCTAGGACAAAAGACATGATCCATAAAACATTCCATTTTGTTTCAATCTCTGTTTTAATGTTTGTTTTACCTTTCTAGTTGTTTTGTTATTTATAGCTCATTAATTCTCAATAATATTATTTTTTAAATGCCTTTAGTGATTTTTTTTCACAGTTGGGGGAAAACTCTGCAAATCTCAGACTCAGAGGTTGTATAGGCTACCATATTTCAATGACTCACGGCTAACACTCTCTTAGTGACACTCTCGTCATGATGGCTCACTAAACTACTCTACCAATCCTCCCACTTTAGGAACACTATGCAGAGCAGCTGAACTGAATTCTTCAACCCATATCACCAGCTTTCTCCATTTACATTTTAACAAGTACCTTAATGTGGAAGTCTCTGTCCACAAGGATGTTTTCTGGTTTTAAGTCTTTGTGTACAAAGCCTTGCTCATGTAGATAAAGCATTCCTTCTGTGATCTCCAGCACAAAACGCCCTTTCACTGACAAAGGCAGTGAGAGCTAAAAGAAAGAACAAGAAATGCCATCTATTAAAAAATGCAGCTACAACCATCAAATTAAAGTGCAATCTTTAAAAAAAGTTTCTTTCTCAGTCTCAAGAGTACCTCTGCTCAAGCTATGGCAAAAAAGAACTGCATCACCAGCCGGTCGAGAGAGGTGATTGTCCACTCTACTTCACACTGGTGTGGCCTCACCTTGAGTCCTGTGTGCAGTTTTGGGCACCACAATATAAGAAAGATATAAAGCTACTGGAGAGCATCCAAAGGAGAGCTAAGAAGATGGTGGAAGGTCTAGAGGGGAAGCCATATGAGGAGTGGCTGAGGTCACTTGGTTTGTTCAGCCTGGAGGAAGCTAAGGGAAGACCTCATCATGGTCTACAGCTTCCTCATGAGGGGAAGTGGAGGGGCAGGCACTGTTCTCTTCTCTCTGAGGACCTTTCTGGGAGAATGGCATGAAGCTGGGTCAGGTGAGGTTTAGACTAGATATTAGAAGGTTTTTTCACCCAGAGAGTGGTTGTGATTTTTGGGGTTATCCTGTGCAGGGCCAGGAGTTGGACTTGATGATCCTTGTGGGTCCCTTTCAACTTAGGATATTCTAGGATTTTAAGGCCCTTCTTGGATCTAAATTTTGCCATTAAAGTAAATCTAGAGTCACTTCGTAATTACAGAAGCATTTTTCTTTAGAAAATTCTCCACATATCTCTACAAACACTTCTATAACTTTTTAATCTGTAACTGGTCTGCTCCTCTGCTCTAGAAAAGGCAGTGCTGCCACTGGCTTTTTAACACAGAAGGAAGAATGAGAAAATAAAGGCTCCATTCTCTGGAGACAGCAGGAACATCCTGTCCATTTCAAGCACCTTATCAACCCTAAGAGATGAGGTAATTGACTGCTCACTTGCTGTAGCACTTTCATCATGTTCCCCCGGTCCACATACTCCATCACAAGTGAGTAGTTTCCATCTTCCAAAATGATACCCAGTAGTTTTACCACACGGTCATGCTGCAGTCTGCGCATAATCTTGCCTTCTTCAAGGAGGGAAACATTGTATCTGTAAAACAGAAATTACATTGAACTTAGGTGCCAGGCTAGAAAGAACACAGTGATGAAAATGACATTGACTCATAAGGAAAACAGTGGCCAAAAATGTCCACATCCTTAGAGCCCCTGTACAATTAACCATACCTTTAGCTGATTTTTAATTGATACAGCTTTGTTCAGGCCAGATTATATTCTCTAAGACTCTACTGCCTTACACAGAGACTGTCTGCTCAGCCTGATTTTAAGGCCTGCTTTTCAGAAAGTGCATAAGCATTCTTTTTATAGGTGCACTGCTGGTTGTGTATGTCCAAATCTTTGAACAGGGGTGGGATCAGGGTAGAGCTGAAAGAGCCTTGGAACAAGGAGGGTCAAGACCTCCTTCACTACCTCTTGTACAGGAAACTTACAGAGGTCTTGTTTCTGAAGGGCTGATATTCATGTTATGTTCAAAATGGATTTATTATAAGGGATCCACCCACACACTGGATGATAGCATTTGCTAACAATTACTGGTTGAGGATGAGTTCAAAGCCCAACTCTTTACATGGGCCTCAGTACAACCCATCAATAATCACAGGTACATAGCTGGGAACTCACTAAGGGTGTTAAAAAAGGATAGTATCCATTATATAATATACAAGACTGTGACTTAGAAGGAAACTGCTTTCCCTCTGTTCTTCCATAGTAGGAGGAGAACTGATTGTTTTGTTTGCATTAGGCTCAGTTAAAAAATTTGCAAAAGAATTTTGGTTCAGTATTTTAAGGAATGACAAAATTATGAGCCTGTCTAGTGAGAAAATAAAAACACAAACCCAAAAATAAACTTGGCAGGCTTGTCCATTTTAACTGTGTTCATCCCAAACTGTCATTGCAGTCTACAAACTACTAGAATCTCTTCATTTGCTTTCCACTGGCAAAATAAAAACTCAGTTTATTTATTATAACCCAAAGTAGAAAGATTTAGGACTTTTGTCTCTCTCTAGGGGATGACTCATGGGAGAGCTTTACGATTGTTATAGCTGTGAGGAAGTACAGCTGCAACGTGACCTGAATCCACTGAAACCAACAGCTAATTCAATCCTTGAATTAAATCAGTGGGCTTAGCTCGCTCTGCTTTTTTCTCAAGGGAGAAGGTTACATTCTTGGTATTACACATGAGCAGTTGGAATCCTGTTGGTAGTTTATGTGCGTTTAGTTTCTTATCTACAGTTGGATAACTGTATTGTAAACATATCTGCAAGTCTGAAAATATCATGTGGCCACTGAGTTCCTGCATTTCCTTAAGTGTGCAAGAGTCCTCTTGATTCTTAAAAATTCACAGTAGTGCTCCCCTCGAAATGAAAAACAGGAACTTCACTTGAACAATAAGCTAAAATTTAAAAAGTTGTCTCATGAGGAAAAAAAAGGAAAATTTGCAGGACAACTGCTAGCATTCTCTTATTTGCCTCATATACAGTATCTCCAGAAGCCAAAGGCCCCAAATTATTACACTCTATTTAGATTTATCTCTACTGAGTTTAGCAGACTTACACTAACTGAAAGATAAAAATCAGAACTGAGATCTGTAACTTACTCAGTGCGCTGTGGTCCTGTATACACTTTTTTTAATACTACATATCCATGTTTCTTGTGAAAGCATAAAGAAATGGTTCCGAATCCTCCAGCATCTAATTGTTTTTGTTCAAGCAAATCCTGGGTGTTCATGTGGATGTCTTCCAGAGACATGTTTGCAGTCTTTGTGGCTTAGCAATGAAAACTAATCAAGTACCCTAGTGCTTCTGGACCTGTAGTATAAAGGAGGAAAAAGAAGTGTCATGATCAGGCATTTAGCTGTTCCACTAAATAAGTGTATATGTAAGCATAAACTCTTGTGACCCTTATGAACAAAGTTGGAAATCAAAGATGCTGTGGTTCTTGCAGAATCATACCTAAAGATCACAATGATTTATCCTGTCGATCCACTACGGTTATATTAAGTTGATGTAAAAGCATTTCTTCACCTGAGGATCTCAAAGTGCTGTTAATAAATAGGTTTTATCCATATAATATGCAGTAGATGGGTACTGTCCCTACACTTCATATGTGCGAAACCCAAAACCTTGAAAAATCAAGGGCAGCAGTCCCAAAGGCAGGTAGTGCCCAATAATTCTGATAAATATTTATTTCACTTTCTAAATTGCCTTGACATGGGCCTGTCAGGTGCCAAGATACTTATATAACTCTA